TGTTCATCGTTTGAATTGTTCATGGTGTATCTATGCCCAAATTACATTTTATTTAGTTGATATCAATGCAAACAATCGTGTTTGTCTTTTATCCGTTAGGTTATCATCTGACTATTCATCAAATACCACTCGATAATATAACGTTCTAGATCTTAAATGTCGCTACAAGTGAGTGAAATTTCCATATCGCTCACATTTAGTTAATTTTTTCGTTGAATTTTTCTTGTCTCACTTTAGATTTAAGCTCTTTACAACTGTGGATGTTACAGACAGTTTTCATAATTTATTAGCTTTTTTTGAAACATTATCGAAATTTTGCATTTCTAAACGAATAAAGTTTAAACAACGCATGAATGCGATCTATTGCTAGCCCAATAATTGTTTCTGCACTTGAGAAGATCAAATCAAACGCGAGTTCATTTAGCTTGTTCACTCGCGTGAATGATGTATTACTCGAGATAGTGAACATGGACTTGACGTTTCACATGGAAAAAGAAAGTTCGTCACAGGTAATCATCCGTCTTTATGGTACTTTCTGCTGCGACTTGAATGCAGCGTCGCCTCCCTCACGTCGGAATAGGCACCGTGTGTTCCTACATCATGTGTAAAGTTTTTATGATGATTAAGTCCTAGAGAAATTAATTCAATTTTTGACATTGGATTGGAAGCCGAGCGACAATTTTCCTTCAAGGCAAAGTAAAAAGTGCTTAAATTTGTGTGCCAAAATTCATTCCAATATTTACAGCAACAAACGTTGTAGGGAGTGTAGTGTGTTGTGGTGGTGCATGTTTTAAGACGATTTTGTTGCAAAAGATGAGTGTAATGCATACAGTACGAGTGACAAGTGTGATGTGTTGGTGTGGTGTATGTGATGAACGCTTTGTGACGCGTGAATTGCGTATGGTATGAAAAGATTGGTGGTTGGGGCGTGGCAAGTGCGATACATGCATGGGCCCGTACGATGCGTGATGTGTGACGCGTCATATCATATCATAGTGATGTCAGCGCTGAAGATAGGTCTGATGTGGTCTGTCACCGATTCTTGTACTTTCCATGACTTGTCCGCAGGTGATCTTAAATCAGATAGTTCGACTGTCGATAGTTTGAAATAGCTACTAGACTTCCACCGGGTTCGATATGGTGCTAGGCATTTCAAGTCTGAACATATATTTCTCCATAGCTTTATCTAGTCTGTTTTTGAACGCGTTTATATTCGAAGCGTCAACGAGGTAATCGGGAGGCTGTTGAGGGACTCGTGGCACGTTTGATGTATTGAGAGGCATTGGTGATGTGATGCGACATTTGTAGTGCGAATGGTTGGCGCGTGTAATAGGTGTGGTGTGCATCGTGTGGCGCGCGTGAGATGCATTCAATGTGGTGAGAAGATGAGTATGGAGAAAATTTTGAGTCTTTACTTTACCACACTCAAGAAGATGAGTGTGGTGCACTAGGAGCAGTGCATTAGGAGCAGTGCAGTGCAGCGTATCATGCAACCCCGTCTCACGATCGGGTGTGGCAGGATGATACGGTGTGCTTGCAGCTTGCATGAGAGAGCAGCTAGCATGCCGCTGAGCAGAGAGCAGCTAGCATGCCGCTGAGCAGTGAGCAGCTAGCGTGCCGCTGAGCAGTGAGCAGCTAGCATGCCGCTGAGCAGTGAGCAGCTAGCATGCCGCTGAGCAGTGAGCAGCTAGCGTGCCGCTGAGCAGAGAGCAGCTACCATGCCGCTGAGCAGTGAGCAGCTAGCGTGCCGCTGAGCAATGAGCAGCCAGCGTGCCGGTGAGCAGTGAGCAGCCAGCGTGCCGGTGAGCAGTGAGCAGCCAGCGTGCCGGAGAGCAGTCCTAGCACAAGCCGTCAACTTTACGATCGTTTTCACGTATTTCGCATTTCGATTAAGTCGTCGTTCTACTGTACGGTCATACGCTTGGATTTCATTGAAGAAGTCCGATAAACCTGAGTGCAAGCTGTGAGATTAGGTTTGGCATCTTTGTTTGTGCGTAAATTCTTTTTTTTTTAATTCGCCTGATGAATTCAGTAGAAGATGAAATCTGTGATATATGAATATTCATCAGTTGTTTTGCCTTTGATTTTCCCGGCTTCATGAAGACCGAAGCAATTAAGCTGAGCATGCAACTGTCTTTGCTTAGAGCGTTCATTTCGTCTCCCATATATTACTTGTTGGCTCTATTTTAAACCGTTATTATCGATTAAATTCTTCATTTGCACAACAATTTGGATATTCAATCTTCTTGACATATTTGTTTAATGCATTTCTTCATTAACCTGTTTGTTTCATTAGTTAAAATATTACAGTCTGCGTTTAAATATCGAGATTGTTGTGGTGACCCGAGCCTGAGCGCATTTTCTATGAGCGATCTTGGTTATTCAGGGCTCGTGTTCAGTATAACAATCATTTCGCTCCTTAACTCTACATTTCATGTGAATTTACCGAGTGGTACAACGTAAATCTCCTGCACAATTCAATATCCAATTTTTTTAGTATTTGTAAAAATATATGTTAAATTTGTGAGTAAATGCTCATATGTAACATGATCATGTTCGATGATTTTGTCTTACAGGTACCTACATTATATGTAATGGACTATAAGTGATATTATCAGATATTGTGAGAGTTTGGGGAAGAAGCGTATAATTTGATTCCTTGCGTTTTATTTGTGTTAAACCATGGGTTCTCAGAATTATTTGCAAGCTCAGCCCTACAGACAGAGCACTTTACGAAGCGTTTACAGCGTTGGAGACGTAGAAGGGGTCTTAGGTCCCCCGGCATTCTCACAATCCCCCTCTTCATACAGTACGTCACTCAATGAGCCCCAGTCTCTGTACGGCTTCCCGAGCAGCAGTGGCAGCATCAACGACTCTGCTCCAGCTCGGCAACAGTTTCCATCTTCAGGTTCCGTGAAGAGGCAGTCGGTGCTACGCGCGAGCCAACGCAATAATCCTAAACGTAAAGCCATCGCTCTCACTAGCGACCAAATCACCGCCCCACTTTCCCTGCTCACTGCATTTCCTACCAAGACAATCGACAACCCTTATGCATCCCTTGTACCCCGATCAGTGCGGCGTAAGAGCTCAGAGACAACTAACAACACAGTTACGACCAACACATCCGGAGAACAGGCGTCTGATCCACCACCGTCCTACAGCCCGCCTCGTAAAACCTCTTCTGAAGACTCAGTGAGTCGTGGTAACTCCAGAAGGAATAGCGCGAGACGCCCGCGATCACGACGAGATTCTCGTCCAAATCCCGCTGATACGGACAGTGACCAAGCAGGGCGAAGTAAGAAATCAGTAACAACATCCGACGACTCACCGTGTGGCTGCTCCGTAGATATGAGTCAGTGGGGCGTTCAAAATGGGAATCATATTCATTCGGAATCGAGTGGCTGGTCCCAAAATCATCCGTCATCTCAAGTTCATCCTCAAATTCATGCATCACATCCCCAACAGGGACTGCCGCGGACACTGCCACCAACTAATGTGCCTTTCCAAAGAATATCCCACACAAAATATCCAAGCAGTCCCACTGATGTTGATGCTGGACCGGAGCACAAACCGTCATCGGGTTGTCGTGGGGTTGGGCGCGCTCCACCGTCCTGTTGCGGGCACCATTGCTGCCAACAGCCGTGCGCCTGTCAGGCCAGCGCTCGCAATACCTGTTGCAGTCATCACCATAACTCCTGTGCCCAGGCATCAGCCTGCCAAAATCACGCTCCCTTGTCGCAAAATAAGAACAATAAACATCATCAATCGTCGGAAGAATTCAGCAAAATTGATAAACCACAAGGTTAGTGGATTATTAATTAGATTTATGCATGCCAAGTTTTATTTACTAACTTTTAGTTCAAGTTTATGTGCTTATTATAGGTCTCTAGATGATCACGCTGTAACGGGCTTTTCAATATTTTCAAATACTGATAAGTAATTTCATCTTTTTATTATTCATTTATGATTTAATTTTTTCCCCTAACACATTTCTTCTAGCTTATTTGGCACACAGCTGCCGACTTGTCAAATGCTACTAATATTTCCGAATGATGCCAAAGTTTACAAACTTTTCCTTTGATATGATCGCGCGAAGGTTTCACTACATGCTATCGCATTTCTGCTTGCTTAAGAAACACTGACGCAAGCAATCTTCTCAAGCTCGCGACTCTTTTGCCTGCTTGCACTGCGTCAGCTTCCACCCGTGACTCTCATTTTTTTCAGTTGTTTTAGAAACATGAAAATCAGTTGATAAACGGCAAACAAATTTACTAGTAATATAAAGTCAGTAGCGTACAAAATGAAGAATGCATGCTACAGTGTGCAGTCGGTGGAATGTAGTTGTTTCAGGATGAGCTGTCGGGGAACATGAAGTTCTGTAGCTGTCTTTTAATTTTTCGTTAATTTGCCTTCAGTAATTCGTTCTACTGATTTTCAGCTAAATAATACCATAGAATTGTTTAGTATATCGCTGTAAATTTCTTTGAACGCATTGAAGTTGTGGTTCATCTGTTGAAAGTTATTTATCATTTTCATACATGCTGATTTCTTTTGAATGGATTTGTTATAAACAGTTTTTTTTAAAGAAAATCAATATTTATACCTCTGCATTTAGACAATAAAGTTTGATATTAAAGCGAGTTATTCAATCATATAACGAATAGAAGGCCACTGAAGTTCGATTTAAAATCTTATAAAAGATGAAAAGTTAAAAATTTTATTCCAAACAACTGTACACGGAAACTTACAGAAAAGTCTCCTTCCACATCATGTGGGGAAAAAAACGCTATTATAATGTAACCTCTCTAACATCCACTGTTCAGTAACTCCTCGGTGCAGCAAATAGCCCACAATCAGGCAATATTGGAGCTAGGGCAGCTGGGCGAGGCTACAGATTCTCTGTTCATTATACGAGTTCATGATGCGGGTGCCCATGTACCGAAGTCAGCATCCCTGTCTGCTCGGTGTGTCGCTGTCGTGCTATCAGTCTGCGTCTTGCCTTGTATCGACGTTGTTGAGTCGCCCTGCGGTCCGTGTGTACAACTGTACAAGGATTAAAATCGATCGTTTGGTGTTCTTGGATCGCAGTTTATTTTGAAGATCGTGCAATCTCAATTTATGGAAGATACTAAGCAATTATTTGCCTGACTCGTACATGGGACTGATGTAAGGATTGCTGCTGTCGAGAATAAACTATAGATTTTAAAGAAAGGTTTATTTCCAGAATTGACTGAAACTCGTTGTTTCCGTGAAAGTTGGAGTTTTTTCGTTTCTTCATTGTTACTTTAATGCACAGAATATATATATTCGGAACCTTCGAAACGTTCAATGAAATTCGCGCACCGCCGGTATTTTTTCATCTTTGAATCCTTAAAAACATTTTTGCTTCTATATTAGGTCAAGTAACGTAGTTTCAGACACTGGTTGCATTTACTATAAGATATCAAATTTCCTTTACTAGCTAGAAATGGCATTATTGACAAATGCTTTAAAATTAGGTTTCACCCAGTGACATGCATGCTCCGGAATACGAAGAAGTGAGTTGTCATTTAACTCCTTGCGTTAAAGAAAGTCAAGACGGCTGCTCAGATTTAGCTGACCATAGGCGCTCACAGGACGAGTGGGAGCCCAACCATCCAATTTCTCAGCCTGTTGCACAAAAATGGAATAAAGACAATTGGTCCTCGTGTGAGGGACATATTGACGCAGTAGCGTTATCACATCGAGCTGTGCACTCAAATGGTGCTTACAGTATTCCAAACTCTACGGAATACATTACAGTGCAACCTGAATATCCTCGGTCTACTCTCCCCAGACATCTGAGTGAGCCCATACCAAGTACATTCTGTAGACAGGCTAGCGCGCTCTCTTGGAGGACTGACGAAGTTGCATCTGCTCCACCCTCCCACCGTTTTTCTTCAGGAATTGCTTTTGTCCCACTTTCCGATAGAATTCCGAGTTTCATCCGAGAACATCACTCGTCAGACTTCCTGCTTATGGCTACTCCGAAAAGTTTTAAACGAACTAGATCTTGCGAAAGGAACTTACGATCATCCACAGCTCATTCACGAGACTCTGAGGTGCCCTTCTTCGAGGAGGGTAAACGAAGCTCGATGGCTGTCGAAAATGAAGACTTCGAGTACTGCTCGGCGTCGCAGCCCCTCCAGAGCCCGTCTCGTGCGGTACCATCGATGTATCACCGCAACATCGACGCTGTACTTCGGAAGCAAGCGCGACAGTTGAGGAAAACTCGCTCTAAGGACGTTCCCGAGCGGAAAAGCAGTCAGTTTTATACCTAAAAACTTTAAATTAATTTAAAATGTCATACTGTAAGCACCATATATTGTGTATTTAAAGTTAATTTTTATTACAACACTTTTTTTTAACTTCACTTCTTGTTTGTTTGTCTGCCTGGCTGCTACAAATCTTATAATCGATATTTAACACACTTCTCTACTTCATCTACATGTCCAATCGATCTGAAATTTGGCATTCTTGCATAAAGTTGGAGACAATGCGTGAATCAATTGACAGAATAAATTACTTTAAAAAAATTATTTTTTTTTTCAATATTAAAAAACTGAAAAAATAATATTTGGTCAGCTCCAAATCTTATAATGGACATTTGACACGCTTTCACCTGTAAAAAAATTGAAAAATTAATTTGGTTAATATTCGAAAATAAAATTAGAAATTCATTGTACGTCAGTAACATTGAAAACACTGGATTCTTTAAAAGTGTTGTCTCTAAAAAGTAACTTTTAAACGTATATTATTTTATATTTTGTTTAAAGATCGTATTGAGCTAGAACAATAATAGATTTATCTAACTATCTAGTTGCTACACCTACCAATTTCTCGGGGGAAGTTTCTTGTTCATTTCATAAAGTCTTGAAGTATTTATAATTGCTGACACAGCAGTTTCCACTTATTTCATCATCATTTGCATGTATCGATTTTCGAGAGTTGAAAGTTTTATGTTTGCAGTCTTCTGGATCCTGGCCTTTGAGTTTAAGAGAGTTGTCGGCCAAACACAGGCTAAAAATCGGAATGTTGGAGTCTGATAGTTGAAATTTATACCTACAATCTAGGAAACGAAATTTAAAATAGCTCTGTCGTTGTTGATGATACAGTATTAAAACTTCAAAATATAATTTTTATTTTTTACGAGTTTAGATCTATGAACAAGGCACGAAAAGGAAAAGAATCGGCGACAGGCCACATCAGGCCTACACTTCAGCGCCGACATCACTATCACTATGTTATGTTATGTTAAAATATAGGAAAGGGAATTACCAAGCATTTTCCATTTTTTCTTGTACCAGTACTCATAATGTAAAAGAAAATGCCCAATCAATCAATAACTGACTGTTGCTGGCAATTTAAAACATGCTCAGTGATTCAACATTAAATTTCAATATCTCAATAGCTGATTATACCAAACGTTCTGTTGTAGTACAAACTTGAATTTCATTCTGAAGCAGGTACAACTGCTCTTCTAGTTTATCATAGTTTATCTTCGAAAGTATTTTCTTCTGAACATTAATTTATCATGGTTAACTGCGTTATTCGCTTTCATTGGCCCCTCTAACTTTAAATCATAGTAATCATTAATCGAAATTTATTATGAATTGCTATTATTACTTGTGATGAAACCACCAGCAGAGAGACCAAATCGTATCTCATTTCTGTTGCAGAAAAGAATTGCGTCATCCATCGTGCAATCCCAGTCATAATATTCAATTGGCTAATTTTAACTCCGCCCTAACCGGCCTAACGTGGTTTTTGTCTGCAATTCATCATTTTCATGGAAATATTAACTTTTATCAAACTTAACTAATATTGAGAGAGCATTATGTTGAACTGTTGATGGGTCTAGATTGAAAGATTATTCAAAAGAAACATTCGGCTTCGTAAGTGGAACCATTGATTGTCAAATTTAGACTGCAAATCCTCTATACAATAATACAAGCTCAAAATTTCCCCCAATTAAGTTTCTACTTTGATGATTGCTGTTATTCACACAATGAGACTACTATGTGCACGTAATAATGGTGATTTCTAACATTCTAACATATTCCGACCAAAACACGTTCACGATCGACTGAGTTTGATTAGAGTATCATGAGTTTTTTTGTGCGGCTTTTAAGGTTGAATCATCAGGTGACTTCACTCCTTTGCAATTCCATAAAAATTAGTATTTATTTTTCAGCGTTTCATATCTACAAATTGAATTGAGGAACGAATTATTTTGTGGCTTGCATGATAAATGTTTTTATTGCGAACATGCCCTTAGGCCGGCTACTCTTGTAAGTAATTAAATGCAGAGGATTGTGCGCATCTTGTACGTGCGTAAATTGTACCTCACAATAAATCTGTTTCCGTGTGAGTACCAATAATTGAAGAAACTCGAGTAATCTATGAATTTTTTTTTTCATTAAGAACTATGAATGTTAGTAATCAGATTGAATGGTTGTGTTACTAGTGGCTGAAAGCCCTCTAGTGGGTTCTGGGTGTTAACGTTTTAAATCTGTACTGACTTGAGCCCGAGCAAATGACGGTAGTGGCAAAGTTGTATACGTCGTACACGCATGGTAGGCAGCGAGTTGCCTCATTGGCAGCAATTGAGGGCATTAACAAGCTCACCAAACACACTCCCTCTATCCTGCAAGACGTAAACTGAGTTACCAGGATAGTTTTTTATGGTCGCTGTTCATTTCGGGCTTACACGTGTATACTACTTGCAGTGGATGAGTGGAACAACGAAACGTCTTGAGAATGTTATATCTATGAAGTTTTAAGAATGAAAATAAATTTGGTTATTTTGAATAACTTTCCAGTCATATGTAATTTATTATATTTTCCAATTGAGCGGCTGCTGAAATTTTATTACGGTAACATATGAATTTGAGAAATGTTTAATTTTTAGCAATTTTGTCAACAACAAATTTATTCATGAGCGCAATGCTCACTTAAAAATTCAAACACAAAGTCTCAAAACGAATAAACCATATGCTATCCTTATTGCATACGAAAAAAAAACAGATAAAATAGAATTGGTTTTTCATTTTGCGGACGAATAATCATTATAATGCAAACACAACAATGGCATGGTTGAACTAGTTAAACCATGCAACAATAGGATCAGGCCAGAATATCGTTTGAGTGAATGATGACCGAGTGTTATCGAAGAATATTTACTATACATTGTAGCTTGAACTTTTTAAAAAATTTTCAACAAGTGCGATTTTTAAATGCTAGGTAGAAAAATGACTGAGCTTAGAATTATTACTGCATGATTTCGTGGCTGAGAAACTCATTTTACTTTCAAAATTATTGTTTTATTAAGCAATAATTAGCGAATAATTAAAATAATCTAAAAATGATTAAACATAGCACGTTCTTTCATATGTTAATTGTTGGCATTTAATTCAGACTTCGGTTTTGTTTCAGCCTAAGAAAATAAATTCGTTATTGAAGTTTGCGAACATCTTGAACATAAGAACATCATGGTCGATCTTTTTATTATTAGATACTGAGTAGATAGATATACTCAACATTGATTTATCTTAACATAAATTTATCTTAGCTGGTCAATCAATCTACCAGTTCTGTATAAAATCGATCATTGGTTGAGAAATGCTTAAGAAAACACTAATTTTATATTATAGTCTGCAATAATCATTTTCCCGGCATTAATGCACATTTGTAAATGAATACGCTAAATTAATTATATGAAATCTCGCAACAAATAAAAGAGTAAATAAATAAAAGAGAGTATGAAATGCAGTAACAAAAATGAAAGGGAATACAAGTGAGAAAGTTGTTTCACTGGAGCACAAAAGAATGTGCATTGTTTCCCGGCTCTGCATTTGTTCTGTTGGCTGCAGGGCGCAGGGCGGAGTTGCCGCCAAGTCGCTGACTTGAGAAGACGAGCGTCACGCCGACGACACTTCCTCAGCGAACACGCCCTCCATGATAGCACACTCAGAGAAATAAATGAGAGATATTTGCCACAAGAATAAATGCATTTTCGCCTTTGTTTGGGTCAACTTGACCCAGTTTGGCCTGGAAAAAATACGTATTAGTGCTACGTTTGCTCATTGCTTGTGCTGTAGCCTAGTGTAGCATGTGTAGGTGAGAAAGTGCGTCACTAGTTGTACTGTATGACCCTTTCATTTCCTGAGCGACCGATTTACTAGGATGTCTCTTGCTTACGTGGCGTGCTCTGCTATTCTCATCTTATGCGAAGTTGCAGTTGTGATCGTCGGCTGTGGAACAAATTGAATATAAATACTTATGACTGTAAAAATGATTGTAGTATAATTACAATGAGATGCAGTTCATAACCCCAATCTGATGAATGGATGGAAGTTACTTTATTGGGTAGAGTTTTTGAAACCCGCAACCAAATATTACGATACCATGCAGTTACCTACACATTGTTTGAATACTTGAATTATATTGGATTAGGTGAGAGCTGAATTCATTGAGAAAAAATATAACTCAGTACTCACTGCAGTGAGTGACAGAGAGCGCATTTTATCGTCGACGAAAACTTGAGGTCACGGACGGACGGACAGACAGACAGACGGACATGGCGAGCACAATAGTGCATTTTTTCCATAAATGAGAAAATGCGCTAAAAAAACTCGACTTGAAAAGCAAATTATAGTGTAGAATTGTGCAGAATTATAGCTCATAATTGAGAATATACACTAATTGTGATATTATTTTAAAGGTGACGCTCGAGTTACTTGTCCTAAATTTGCTTCGAAGCTATTGAAAAGTTGAGCATTGATGCAAGGATCATGCGATTACATTTGACCCGCTCACACATTGTGCATCATTGGGAGGTAAATCAAGAAAGTTAATGTACTTCCATCCAAGATTGTTTGGAGCAACTAATGTACTTCAATTTCTTTGATTTGCTGGCATTCATGAGGTGGAAACATTTGGACAGAAAATCAGTGCACAAAGAAAAAAAAAATTTTACGATTAGAAGTTTTTACTTTGCGAACATAGTCATAGGAATGCAATTGCCTTGCATGTACTGGATTCTCTATTAATTTGTTTTCTGTACCCTAAATAATTATTTTTAATTTAAAGCATTTCATATAAATTTAGTTGCTCCTAATTAGTATGAAATAACTCCCGTTTCTAATTACAAAGTAAGAAACTTTCATGAAGAAGGCTTAGAAAACGTGTCATGAATCAGAGGTTTTTAATGGTAGAAAATGGGCTGTTATCGACATAAAAAGATTGATGTTTCAGTCATCAGC